ATCATGAAGCAGCTGCCGCAGGAGGCGAAGCGCTTTGCCATGATTGATAAGGCATGGCAGAAGATCATGAATAAAGCAAATGAGATGCCAAACGTCCTGGAATTCTGCTATGAGAACGAATTACTTCAGAACTTGCCGAATTTAAAGGAACAACTTGACGAATGTCAACGTAAACTCTCTTTGTATCTTGAGCAGAAGCGAAATTTGTTTCCAAGATTTTACTTTGTGTCCGACACGGTATTGCTGGAGATTTTGTCTCAGGCAAGTGATCCACAGTCCATTCAGCCACACCTGGCGTCCATCTTTGACGGTCTTGCGTCCGTGCGCTTTGAGCGCATAAAGCCAAAGGAGGCGGGAGCGCAGCCGTACTTTCAAATTGTTGAGATGATCTCCGGAGAGGGCGAGTCGCTCATGATGCGGGAACCCACGCCGTGTGTTGGCAACGTTGAGGATTGGCTGAATCGCCTGTGTGCTGGAATGACCGCCACGGTGCGGGAAGTGGTGAAGGCAAGCGTCACGGAACTCAGCACGCTTCTTGGCAACACAAACTACCTTGGCAGCATCATTGAACGCTACCCGGCGCAGGTTTCACTCCTAATGCTTCAATTTTTTTGGACCGCCGATGTGACAGAGTGCATCACGAAGGGTGTCATGCGTGCACGTGGGAAGGAATCCGCCTCCTCACGCGCCAAGTGCGACTCGGTGAAGAATTATCTTGTCAACTTGACGACGTCAGCAGAGTTGGAACGACAACCAAAACGCATGCGTACCAATGTGGAGACGCTTATTACGATTCAAGTTCATCAGCAAGAGGTGTTCATTGACCTTCAAAAAGCCTCCATCAAGGAACTCACACACTTTGATTGGTTAAAACAGGCTCGCTTCTACTACAAACCAGAGCGAAACCTTACCATTATTTCTATTGCCGACTCAGACACGGAGTACTGTAACGAATACCTGGGCGTTAAGGAACGTCTTGTCATTACACCTCTGACAGATCGTTGCTATATCACCCTGTCTCAGGCTCTTGCAATGTACATGGGTGGGGCCCCCGCTGGACCGGCTGGTACCGGAAAAACGGAGACGACAAAAGATCTTGCCCGTACTTACGGTAAATTTTGCGTCGTGTTTAACTGCTCTGACCAGTTGGATCGTCATGCAATGGGAAAAATTATCCGTGGTCTGTCCCAGGCAAATGCATGGGGATGCTTTGATGAGTTCAATCGTATCGATCTCCCTGTATTATCTGTCGTGGCACAGCAAGTGAGTTGCGTCCTGCAGGCACTGAAGCAGCACAAGGAGAAATTTATTTTTATTGATGGTCAGGTGACGGACCTCATGCCTGGCGTTGGCTTCTTCATCACGATGAACCCAGGTTACGCCGGGCGACAAGAGTTGCCGGAAAACCTCAAGATTCTTTTTCGTGGCGTGACAATGATGATTCCGGACCGCCAAACAATTATGAAGGTGAAACTTG